AGTTTCCCAGTTTCAAGGGTATCAGTCCTCTTACAACATATAGTATGATGTGAAGTAATACTCAAACTAGGCAGCTGACAGCTTCTGCGGATTAATTCTCTGGTGCTGTATTATGATTCTTGTGTTTTGATAACTTGTTTTGATGACTTGTTGAATTGAGTAATTTGTGGCGACTTCCGTGCTTGGTACTTGATATCTGAAATCATGTGCTTTTTGTGCATGAATTGGAAATTTTATGCCATTTATCCCAATTTGTGTTGGCTCAGGCTGAATTCTGTGTTTGAGATAGTGGAAGAAAACATGCAATAGTTCATAAATTCATTCCAATCTATTTGCAATTTAATCTCCTCATGACTGCTAGCAAATAGGAATAGAAAATAAAAGGCATTCCATTTTATAGCATCCTTTTCACGGATATGCAGCTTTTCAGCATTAATGTTTTGTGTGTCGTGAGAGTTCAGTTTTGATCTTGAACCAGTAGAGAAAATGCCCTTGAACATCTTCATGTGCTGTTGATTCCTGGAACGTCTGGCCCTAAGAACATGGGGCACCTCCTGTTTCTAATGAGCCTGTGTCTGCATGGAGGTATTGGAAAAGTTAATTAAAGGTGCAGTGCACATTAATTAAAGTTTGTTAAACTCTGGTGCCCATGACTTTATTAGCTAATGGAGTGGCCTGAGGTCAAGGTAATTTAATCCAAGACTTTAAAGGTAAAGTACCCTGTTGACAGACACCACAACCAAGAAAATGTTTGTAAATGTGTCATGAATTCACTCTTGAGGACAAATCCCTTTGTCAGATGCAGAATGGAGAAGTAAAATCGGCAAGGGCAGTGCTGGAATTCTCTTTCAGGGAGTTCTAGTTTGATCTGTTTTAAGGTCTGTATCATGTCAGTCTTCATCTGGAAAGATGAAGCCTTTTGTTTCTGGATTGTAATTAATGCTCGGATTTTAGGCACTAATAGTAGCCAGCGGGGAGAGGAAGTTGGGAGGGGGAGTAGGATAGGGTAGCCTTGTCTTAGTGCAGCCCATACTGAATTGCTGGGTCAGAGAGGAAGCAAGCTCACTGCCAAAATGGTGTATATTTCTCCCCCCCCCCCCCCTCCCCGTCTTTGGTAACTCGTGGAGTTCTCAGGCATATTCTGAGCCTTCTCTGGTGTCCTGCTATCAAATCCACACTTGTGAAAACATGACTTTTGCTGTTGTGATGTTTGTATTGTGTGAACGTTTCAGGAGGGATGCAGAGATTGCTGACTGCACTGCAAGAGAAACACAGTGTGGAAGACCCACTGTTTACAGAGCACTATCCTGGTGGTGTACGGGTCTGAAAAGAGCTGTGCTGGTTTTACAAACGTTCAGTTTGCACGTGTTGATGTGAATCGCTTTCCCATCAGGAGTGTAGGCTCCTGAGTGGTTAAAATAAAGAACATTCTTGCTGACTGCATGGACTTCTGTCGACTGAGTGCACTACTGCAGTACTGTGGTGTAGGCAGACACTACGTCACGTTGATATCTTTGTTTAGCTTGTCTGTGCTTTATCATGTTGCCTAACAGTTTTAATAGAAAAGGGAGGGGGGGAAGAGACCAGTATGAATACTTGTAAGTAGAAGTATCTGAAAGCAGCAGATCTGGAGTGCCTTACACCAGCTGCACACTGAAACAAAGAGAAGTATTGAGAGAGGCACAATAAATGTGTTTGCTATCTCTGCTTTCAGCCGCAGTGCAGACTCAAGCCGTCACAGTAATGAATTTTGAAGCCTGGAGTTTGGACTCCGGGAATTTTATAAAACACAGTTGTTTTATCAGAGCGTTGTCTTGCCAGCTGTATGATGCGAGTCTGGTTACCATGGAGTGTGGTCAGTTGGAGGAGACAAATGGAGTCAGTAAAGCAGCATTCTGTGTGGTAAGCTCTGCTGTGGTTTCGCCCTCTGGTTTAAATTCAAGTTTGGTAAGCAGGAAAGTAGTGGGGGAGAGAAGTTGCCTTTTTATTTAAATAAAAAGCAGTTTTGGCCTTAATCAAACATACAGGCCACATGAAAACTCATGGTGCAGTACAAATGTGCAGTTTATACCCGTAAACAACACAGGGATAGTTTTCCTCTTGATCTTGCCCTGTCATCTGGACTCTCTTGTTTGCTATTGTTCTCTGCTTGCCTGATGTCTGCAGGGTGGGCTGTACAAGATACTGAACACTGGCCACTTGTATCTTCTTATGAGGAGGTGCTCAGTTCTTCTTGCCTGTCCTGTAAGAGACTGAGGATGTAAGAGCTCTTGCTGCTCCTGCCTGCTCACCGCTGCCATCTGTTTGAAGCTTTGTTATTTAGATTAATTGTGGCCAAATGGCCCTGGGGTGCTGCGGAAACACTGGGCAGTTTGGTGTGGTTACCTGAAGGCACTGGTATCCCCTGCATAATTACCATGTTTCCATACAATGAGGACAGTGTATTACCAAATTCGACAGGCTTTAATTTGAAGCCATTTCTTTCTTTGCTAGATTTCTTTTGAATGGATTTCTTGAATTCCAACATAAAATAGCGATAGCACTTTTACTAGAGTTTGTGCTCAATCTGGGTATTAATACAGAATCATAGAATCTCAGCTTGGAAGGGGCCTCAAGGGTCATCTGGCTCAGCCTTTCTAGGCACAGCATGACCTAGACTAGATGGGCCAGCACCCTGTCCAGCCCAGTCTCAAAAGTGCCCAGCGTTGAGGAACCCACCACTTCCCTGGGGAGCTGATTCCAATGGCTGATTGTTCTCTTTGTGAAAAACTGTCCTCTTGTGTCCAGTCAGAATCTTCCCAGAAGAATATCTATAGATGGTGGTGTTACCATGCATAGAGTAAGATGAATGTGTATTTTTAATTTATTCTGTATTATTTTTAAGGACACACACACACCCATTGAGGTAACTGTATAGAATCAGGCTTCTGAGAAAGGGAAAGGTTTCTAACAGCATGTAAAGCTATTTTGTCTCTTGTAAACACCAGTGTTAGCTTTACATGGGTGTTTAAATTGCGTGTGTTCCCATGAAGAATTGCTCAGAAATCAGTTGGAGTTAAGCGCCTACATGGAATCTGTGATTCCTGTAATAGAATTTTGTGTTTGAGCCTTCAGAAGTGATCCGAGGTCCTGCAGAGAGAAGTGTGGTTGCATGCAGGTGGGATGAAAGTATCGCAGACCGTAATTGATCAAAAGTTTTATCTTTTGACATTGGTATTAACTTATTTTTGTCAAAGATGGAAGTGAGAGAGGTCCGTCACTAGAGAGAAACTGGTATAATGTGGTTTACATCTGGAGTTTGAACACTGTGTAGGTGGAGGGTTCTCCTGGCAAAGGCTGAAGACAATATTCAGAAGTTTTACTGATACAAAGATGATTTCATGAGAGGTCTTTTTGCTTAAAGCTTCTCTGGTGACAGTGGGGCAGTTGTGGGGCTTCCCATGTAACACTTTGGGTGTTAGGAACAGGAGGGGGGCTGGACGTCTGCCTTGGAGCATTTGCAGTAGAGCGCAGTTTTTACTATTTAAAGCTGAGATGGAAAGTTCCTATTTAGATTTGGTGCCAGAGTCTTTAATAGAAATCGTGAATTGTGGTGTATTATAGGTCAGTGTATATTTGCTAGTTTATATTATGCTGACTAAATTGGCAAAATGCTTATTTTTACTGGTAAACATTCAGGAGGTTTTCTCCTCACTCGTTCCTTTTCCAACAAAACACTGTTTGTCGTGTGTGGAATTAGGGCAGCATTTTATAAATCATCTGTCATGGCGATGATGTGAAAATGTGTGGTGGCATACAAAGATTTCCATTGTCAGGTACTGCAGATGGAGTTAACTTGATCCTAATTTTAGCTCTGGAAATTACGGCCATGTAGAAAACAAAATGTGTCTGGCAGTGTAGGAAAAATACAAATTCTGAACTCTAGCAAAAGTGGCTATTTCAGGGGTATTACCAGAACAGGTAACCCTGGTTAATTCAGCTCCTCTCCAGCCCCCTTATGAAGTCCTAAAAGCGTTGTTTTAACATCTTTGAATCCCCATGAGGTCTAAATGCGAGCTGTGGCTGTAAGGATGTTGTAGTCAAGTCCATAGCTGCTGGTGAAGCAGCATTGTGCTTTAGTGAGACGTTTAATCGAAATGGGAAAAGTCCTGTGTGCTTAGCAATGAGATGGGATGTGTTTTTGTGCAAGCTCGTTGTATCAGTTCTGGAATTATTCATACACAGCTCCCGCATGCTGTGAGTGGCACTTTCTGGTAAGTGTAGATTTATATACAGTTTATAATCTCCCCAGTACTCTACCACCAGTCTACCTAGCTGAATATTAGCATTCTCATAGTGAAATGTTGCCATTCTTAATGCTGAAGAATTGTGCTGTTCTGTTCATTGCTCCAAACATAGTTTAAAAGTATAGGGAAGGATGTTTAAGGAGAAACTTAAAAATCTACATCAGCAAGTTCCAGTTTTCTCCCTAGTTTTTACCTTGCACAGTTATATACCAGAGAAGCTTGGTTTGGACAGCATTTCACAAAAGGAATCATTTGAACGTTTATTCGGTTTTAGATCTTGAATATTTGGCATCAGTGTGATCTGTAGCCCTGGAATTTATAACCACAACCATAAGAAAAGGAACAAAGCTTATTTCAGTGCGAACAGTCATGCTTTGCAGAATGAGGTAATGAAAGTTCAGTGCTGGAGCTGCAGCTTGTAAGAAGGAATGCTTCTGAATAAAACTGCTGTTGGAAAGCTGCGTTAGCTCAGCTTTTCAGATTATCTGGGGTGAGTTGACCCCTCTCTTATTACCTTTTGGGAACTGTTTATTCCAGCATTAAACAGTGGAGTATGGTTTATGATACTTTATTTATCTTACAGCCATGTTAAATGTGCCTGTGCAGACCTGATGTCTGTTTGGGAGAGTTTTGTGCGAGAATGTGTTCAGAGAGCATATTGGTTTACCTCTCTTCTCCCTGTTGTGTTCATTCTTACTTGTCTTCTTCCTGCAGGTGAAGCAGCCCTAAGAGGTGAGCCCAGAATGCAGTCCCTTCCAGTGTCCTCCGTTCTAACCAACCATCGAACAGGCCCTCCTCCTATCAGCCCCAACAAGAGAAAGCTCAGCATGGACCAAGGGGACGACGAGCTAGACTGTGAAAATGACCACGTTTCTAAAATGAGTCGAATGTTCAACCCCCATCTGTAAGTGTCTGGCTTCTGTTTCCTCTGCTTCACAGAATGTAATGCTATCCTCTTCATCTCGGTGTGTGCTAAAATCATACTACATCCAAAACTTTGGGCTAGGTTTTTCCTTTGTTCCAGTCTGGAAGATGTGCACAAAGACTAGTGTGATTAGGTGGGTCATCTTGTTTTCTTTTGTTCTCATACCGCATGAGGTAACAGGAATTAGCTCAGCTTAACTATTTATAGTAAAATGTACGTATTCACCTCGTGATTTCCAAAGTATTGTTCCCTTGTTCTGCGTAATGTGCTCCTTTCACTTCCCCTGATTCTGAGCTCTGCACTCTCTGCTGGTGGGGGTGGTGAGGCAGGAGGAGGAGAAACAGAAGTGCTTTGCATTTTTTTGAGGCCAGGATTGTAAGCCAGCTGCTCTGTAGTCTGCCTTGACAGCTGGGTAAGCTGCAGTTGTTGCTAAACATTACTTAAAGGATCGTGCCTCAGCTCTGACAGTCAGATGTGGAATTTTTCCTACAGGTAAGGTGTAGATGAGTTAGGTGCCTGTGTTGGGTAATCATCAAATGCCATTCTTGCTCTGTTCTCATTCCTGGGAATGCAAGTCTGCTTGGCATGAAGTACAGGCTTAGAGAATTCCTTTCATTCTCGACTGGAGGAAGTGATTGGAGCAGTTCAGCAGTCCAGGGCTGCCTGATAGCTGTGTGCCTTCCCCTGCTGCCTCAGCTCCTGCAGCCTCGGCATTCCTCGCATTCCATGCTGCTGTGGACTGTTGTGTTCAGTCATAAGATGCGGACAGAGGTATTTAGCCTCAAATAAATCACCACAGTGTTAGTCAGAGGCTGGGCCTGTAGTCTGGAGTCTTGGAATTTGTTACAAATCAGGAATCCAGCACTGAAGTAATGCAAAACAATAGAAGCTCACAAGCAGAGGGGAGACTTCTCATTTACAGCATACCTTGTTCTTTCTCCTAAAAACTTAACTATTTATAGCCCTTCTCTGGAGCTGAGAACGCTGGTGTTGGAAAGAACTCTGTGCTGCATTTCTGTGGCGTACACACATGACAAAGAAATCTATGGCATTTTTGAGTTGGTGTGTTTGGATTGTGGGAAAAGGTGTTATTTTCTTTAGAACCCAATTGCTGATGACGGAATCAAGCACAGCTGGCAGTTATGTACATTATATCACTTTATACAGTGGTTGCCATAAAAATAATAAAGTATGACCCAGCAGACTCATGTGTGACTGATGTCCAAACCTAAAAGAGAGGGGCAGTTAGTTACTGTATGTCATTCCCTCAGGTGTATTTGAAAGCTCTCTGTTTTCTAGTATGGAATGTTTTTACCCGGTAGATTCTGTGATTTTTATATATGAAATGCGCATCTTTTCTTCTTTTAATGAAAAGCACTGGTTGTCTGCCCAGTGTTCATGTGATGGGACTTAGCTGATTTCAGTTAAACCTGCACGTGAATCCTGATCTGAAATAGCATATGTGAGGCCATCTTTTTCCTGCTTTATTTTGTAAGTTTGATCTGGCCGTATGAAAATACACTTTCAATTGAATATTGCAAAACCTCAGACTTCTGTGATGAAGCTGAAATAACTGAATATCAGTGGATTTCAGATACAAGGAAAGTTCCTGTATGTTCTTTGATTTTTACTCCCACTTCCCTGCCACCACCACTAATGAGGTTACTTTTTCAAATGGTTTTCATATTTTCCCTCTTTCAGATGAGGATGTTCTGGCTTAACAATAGAAATGAACTACTCAAACTGTGTGCAGCTGTCCTAAAAATGTGTGTTGGGCATGGGGAGTGTGTTGTAGAAGCTTGACTTGTTTACACTAAAGGCAAGGCAGTAGATTTGGGGAAATAAATACTTAATGGAACAGAATAATGGCAGCCCCACTGTAGTGACTTGGAGGTCTAGAAGTGTAAGTTTGATAACATTCGGTTTAGAGATCCAGCTCCATAAGGGACGTGGAGATGGCACGATACCTTCACTGGTAGCAAAGGCATGTTGTGTGATTTGGACTGTAAAGGTGAAGTTTAGAGTCTGCATTTTGAACTTTCCAGGACAAAGTCACAGAGAACATAGGATGAATGAGTTGGTGCCACACAAACTGGGCACAGCTGCCCCGGTCAGTGCTAGGGCTACATCTTTGCCATGTAGTGGTGTTTAAATGTCCAGGTGGGCAGATCTTTTTCACTTGGAAGACAAGGTTTTATCACCGCAAGCAGCTCCTGTTCAGATATTTGGGTCTGTGATGATGTTGGTAGAACTGTGAAGCAGTTTGTATTAATTGTCCACCAGCACTTTATGGACATTGGACAGGGCAGGAGCTGTGTGCTGTGGCTCATTGTAAATGGTAGAACATTGTAAATGGTAGAACCTTTTGTTAGCAATTGGATGTTAAGTCTTAGGTGCCAGCACCCTAGCATCTCGGTGGGAATAAAGCCATTTCAGTGCTTTGGGAGCGTGATGAGCAATCCAGTGATGCCAGCCTTTAGCTTGGGAACGGAATGCATCGAGATAGGCACTGCTCAGGTGTCACTCCCAGTGCATCGTCTTTGATTTGTACTGGGGTATGTTTACTTCTGTCATGGAAAACACAACTGTTGGGTACAGTCTCAGGAGCAGAGTGAATCAAATGGCCTGGCAGTCCTCCTGGGTTTGTAAAGATGTCATGGAATTCCTTTGCAGAGAACAATTTATCAAAGGCTCTGTTTTTTTCAGGGGAGATAATTCTCAGCTGTAGGATAATAAAATACCCTTGAGACCTTGTGGATGACTTTTAATAAGTCAGTATGTGAGGCCTGCCTGCCTCACAGCAGCATACAGGCTCTGTTTATACAGCTTCTGTGTTTTCATGGCCATAGAGATTACATCCATAGCTCCTTACTTGGGAAAAGGAATGCTTCCACCCCAACTTAAACCCCAGCTATTGTCATATGAAACTGCTTTATTTGCATTTAACACTTTCTTGTGTGTCCCTCTGATGTTTTACTTAAAATGCATTGGCTAAAGTAAAATCTCGTTGAAGTAAAATGTGCTTTTTTTTACCATACTTTTATGTTCTGGTGCTTTGTAAAGAAGCAGCGCACTTACTGTAAGCCTTGAGTTGAAACATGCCTTTCTTTTGATGTGTGTAACTTCACTGAAGTCGCCTTGTTTTACAGAAGAGCAGTTCGGGGGGTGATTTGTTTTCCCCTTTGCTCTGTGGAGCTGCAGACAAAGGGCTGTGGGCTGACATCGGCCAGTCTGTGGCTGTAAGAGTCCTGCTGGGGGCCCTGTGTTACCGGGGAGCAGCGGCGGGCTGGGTGTTGTGGAGGAATGGCACTGGGCTTGTTTAGCTGCTCTGGTTTCGAGTAGGGAGTAGCAGATACACAGCTCTTAACTGCTCTTAGCTAGGGACAGTTACAGCTAATAGCACAGAATCATGGACTCTCAGACTGGTGTGGTTTGGAAGGAACCTTATGAGGCCATCCAGCTCCAACCCCTGCCATGGGCAGGGACACTTCCACTGGAGCAGCTTGTTCCAAGCCCCTGTGTCCAACCTGGCCTTGAGCACTGCCAGGGATGGGGCAGCCACAGCTTCTCTGGGCACCCTGTGCCAGCGCCTCAGCACCCTCACAGGGAAGAGCTTCTGCCTAAGAGCTCAGCTCAGTCTCCCCTCTGGCAGGTTCAAGCCATTCCCCTTGGCCTGTCCCTACAGGCCCTTCTGAAAAGCCAAAGAATTTGGCTTTTTCTTGTAATAAAAGCAGGGTCTACAAATCAGAAAGGTAGTTCAGTGTTTATCGTGTAAGATGTTTAGTTTGAAATGTACCCATATATCAGACCCAGACACTTCTGATGCACATTCTGGGTTTTGTCTTTGCTTTTATTACAGTGACCAATCTTGGCAAACCTGATCCATAAAGCTGAGCTTGATTCCTGGAGTTTGGAAGCTGCCGTATATTATAAGGCTTTTACCATGACTATTCAGTGGAGTTTGCTTGCTTTAATGACACTGTCTGAGAAATTATCCTGACATCTTTTTAAAAAAATCTGCCCTAAACCCTATGGAAAGTTCCCTGGACTGGCAGACCATGGGGTAATTCAGGTTGGAACAGGCTTCAGGAGACCTCTTCATCCAACTTCCTGCTCAAAGCAGGGTCAGCTCTGTCCTCTTCAAGCTTGTAGTGGCTCAAAGCAATGAATTTTGAGTTAAGATCTGAAGGACTCTATCCCCCTCCTTTCTGTCCTCCCTGACCCTGGCTGAGGTGCCAGGTGGAAGTGTCTTGTGGAGCACCAGGTCCCTGCTGTGGTGGAGGCTGGCTCCGGCTTCAGGCAGGGCTCAGAAAGATTTAGAACTGGGTTGCAGATGTAATGTGGCAGTTTTCGAATAGCTCTTTGCTGTAACTACTGCTTTTTGGATTCCAAGCTCCGTGGGGGATTAAGAAACATGTTTACACTGGCTTCTTATTGTGACAAATTGGAATTGGAAAAAAAGAAAACCCCAACACACAGAGCTCAGAACACCCAAGAGGTCTCCCATTTGCTTGCACGCATCTTCACTCAGTTCTTTTGGCACAGATATGCCTTTGAAGTGTTTTAGGATTAACCTGGTGTTTGCAAAGCAGTCCTGGTGAAGCTGATAGTCCTCCCTATTGCCTGTGAAGTTGTTACAGTGTGCCTCCTGTCGATGACTGGGCAAAGGAGCAGGGTTGGAACTGCTTTTCCCATGTTTTCTTCTTTCCATGTATACATTGTTTGAATGCTGGACCAAATCAGATACATTTTCTTGTTTATTAGTGGAGATCCCGCCACACAAATAGTGTTAAATTGTTTCAAACACATACACATTAAATTGAACCTTCAGAGGCAGGCTTGAAAGAGCAAATGTATCTGAGTTAATGTTTAACACCAAGTTTTGCAGAAGTTCTCATCCAAGGTAGAATTTCAGAAAGCACTCGAGTCCCTTTTAGTTCAGGAGGGGGTAGGCAAACACATGTGCACTGGTTGTTAGG